TATCTATCTATCTATCTTCCTTCCAACCCTGCAGATGTTCTAGAGTTGTTCCGAGCGTCTCTGGCTCATAGTATAACAGGATATTAAAGATGTGACACTGAGGAGGATTGATTGTCAGAAGTGTGATATAATATTTATATGAATATTTTGATTAGTGTATAATCCGCTTTCAGGGGAACAAAAGTATAACTTTTCTTCTTTTGGTACCTTTTACAAACACTGAGTCAACTCTTCTTTTTAGCCTTATTCTCCAACTGGATGTTTGACTGTTCCACAGAAACACAAAGGTCTCCGTGTCAGCTCTCTTTCTGTTTCGCTGTAGACCGGTCCAGGTTCCTTCGGGCCTCAGTCTCCAGTAAAGAGCTTCTCTGGCAGTTTTGCTCCATGATCATAAAGCTTTTTGTTTGACTTGTTATCACTACATCATCTAACAGTGTGTTCCTGAGGTTCAGTAAGGAGAGAATGTGGTCTCCTCTCTCTGCATGAGTTTGACAGTTTGAACTGCTCTCTCTGCCGATCCATTGGACGGTGCATGATGTGGGCTGGAGGTGAAATCCCCACTCTTTTGAGGATATCTTGAACACATCTGAGCTGAACTGAGGGCCCATTGTCGCTTCTCTCATGTCACCCCACACCCTGATGTCATCAATGCTCATTTCCACCCAGTCCTTCAAACACCTCCTGCATAGTTCATCCCAAACGGAAGCCATAAGAATCTAGAATTTTGGAAAGCAGAACTAGCATCAATGACTGAGAAATATTTGGCATTTGCTTATTTGGATGTGATTTCATCCTCAGTTGGAAGCTGATAGATATTCTGTTTTTATTGCAGAATTGAAATCTTGTGGATACAGACAATAGGATTCACTCATTCAGTAGGATCATCAGTTCTTTGGTCAGCTTTGTCTCCATCCTGCAGAGCTCCTCTTTCACTTAACCCCTTCAGCAGGACAGCTTTTTGGAGGGCTGTACTTTTGGTACTGTGTTATCCTGTGTTATACACAGGCCTGATATCAGCTTTACCTTTCTCTCTAACACAATGAATGTGAGCACCTGTTGTCTCACCTGCATATTACATTTTCTCTTCCAGAGAAATGTTGCTCTTCTGTCGATTCTGTCTCTGATTAATGACGCCTCCAAAGCGCTGAATTCCCACGACTTTGTTGTTGTTCTGCGTTCAGTTACAGACTGACAGATGTGGAAAACATGTATCGCCCATATGTTAAGTTCTTGCATAACAGCCTCCAAATCTTGTTGTTCATCCGGAGTTGCGAAGAAGAATCTCCGGCCACATGCAACAATGACGACTGTACCGTAGCATTTTATCTAGTGTGGGCGACAGCTTCCAAGCAAACCTCTAAACTCTGCTTTTGTTTAATTTTAAATGATTGTGTTGTAAGTTAGACAAATAATGTGAGAATTTATCTTTCTGACTTTATCAAACATACAGCTGAAGGTCAACAAAGGGAGCTAGAGGAAGAGAAGAAGTGAAAGAAACGACAAAAACAGACGGAGGTTTGTGTGTTAAGTCGTGGATTTAGTAAATAAGAAAACTTCTATTAGAAAAGGTTATTATAAAGGAGTTCATTGTTTTCTTTTGTTTTTTGGGATCAAATTTTCCCGGCAGTGATATCGACTACTAAATGTCTTGCAATATGTCATCAGCCTGTGAGCCCAATAAAATAATAAGTCTTTAAATCAGACGTTCAGCCTGTCGCTGACTCCAGTGCTAACATTGTGCTTTAGGTGGTTTACGCAAGTGTTTTGCGTTGACTTCAGAAATTTATTTTCTCCGAATTTTAAGTTTAATCAATCCAGAAAGACAGTGAACACAACACGCTCTGAGCAGTTTTCTTCTTTACCTGGAAGAGTTTCTGGGCCTCGGGGACTTTGTTCTTCAGCTGCCTGGCAGAGCTGCTGAAGGCCCGGCTGGCCAGAACTGGAACCTTCTGGAAACACAAAGAAGCTCGGTTTTGAAAAGAGGAATTTAAAAGCAGTTTAAAGACCACAAAGACTGAGGAAATCGCTGTTGCATGTGTTTTCAGTCGTGCAGCGGAGATCTTATCATCACATAACAGAAGACCACAACTTTCTAATGGAAATATAACTGCCGGTTAATTTTAATAATAATAATAATAATAATTTTCATCATTATTACAGGATTATACAAGCACTTTCTGCATGTAAAAAAAAGAACGAAAGAAAGAAAAGTAACAAGTATTTGTTGTGTAATGTATATGTTTGTTAACTGACCGATATTTTGTATAGTTATGGAAGTTTTCACAACACAAAATAAATGGTTGTTTATCAGTGTATAAGCATTGGTAAACTGCCAAATACAGTTTTTATGCAGTGTAAACAGCAATAATTAACTGTCATTTCACAGATAATGACTTTTATTACAGTTCTATAACTTTTAACATTCACATTAAAATAAGAAAAATCCAATAATAACAGCACTTTGCTGTAAATGTAAGCCTAAATATTTGTATTATAGCAGAGTTCACCAGTAGTTTTAGCTCATTGCATTGGTTTTACAGTATACATATCTTTAATTAAACATAAAAAAGACAAAAGATTATATGTAAAATTAAAGCCAAAAACTGTATTTTAATTCTAGAAAATTAGTGTATTTTAAGAGTCACTTTGTGTTATTTTACTGTATGTTTTTGGTGCTCCACTGCTGGAATATTAGTTTTAAACAATTTCTTTTAGAGTGAATGTTTAGTGTCATACAGCACCTCGGACTGACTTAACATCCTCCTCCTCCTCCCTCCTCCTCCTCCTCCTCCTCCTCCTCTTCGCTGGAGTCAAGCAGCAGCGGTCTCATTGTTCTTTACAAATGTTTTCCAGTGAAAGTAAGCTGCATGTTTGCACACTGATTTAACAGAGGGCAACTGGTCTGAGCGGAGCCACCTGTACGGTTTCTAGGTGTGACACTAAAGTAAGAAAGCAGAAGAGAAACTGACTCTGACATTTGTGTCATTTTCCAGGCAAGTAAGTTTGTTACGTAACTCTCTCTCTGTCTCGTTCTTCCTTTTACATCCAAGACTGTGGTCAGTGCAGTCAGCATATCCTCAATAAACAGTAACACTTACCAACTTGTAGCTCTATGTGGGATCAGTGGAGGGTTTTATGGGTTTCATTAATTTCACATCAGGAAAATAATGACTGGTCCAGAACTATAAACACAGTCCAGTTATTGCATCACACAGTCCCAGATGAACCAATCCATGCAATCAACAAATCATTTACATTATGAACACAGGAGGTTGGAAGAATTCGCTTACAGTACGAGACCTCCAGATGGTTTAATGAGTATTTGTGAAGCCGAGGCTCCAGCGCTTGTTTGAGGTTTTATCGCACTTTCACTGAATCAGTTTCATCTTTTTCTCTGGTGTTGTGCTTTTGGAAACCTCTCTGTAAAGAACAGAAACTCCCTCAATCAAATTCTTTAATGGTTTAGAGCAACGGTTCCCAACCTGGGGTTCGGGACCCCCACTACAGGTCAGCAAAGCTTTACAGGGGGTCGCGAAGGCTTCTTGATTTTTAGACGTACTATAAAAATATCCACAGTCGGCCGAAAAAAGCATTATGTTAATTTCTGTTAAGAAAATTAAATGAAACTGTTATTTTAACTCAAAAAGGTAAATTCAAAGTAAAACTAACAGAATTTTGTAAGTTCAAAAACATTCTTGATCAAATATCTTCAGTGATGTTAAGTGTTAATGTTCATTTTGAAATGTATGTTTTTGAGATTTTGTAACTTCATTTTCATCACATTACAGTTTATTATTTAATATCTAAACTCTCCACACCAGCTTGTTTTTTCCCGCTCTTCTCTTTGCCGAGGCGTTTTCTGAAGCGGTTTTATGATCCATTAATTTTAATCACACAGCTTAGTAAGTACACATTCATCCTCGATCCTACAATAAAATGAGTCAAGCAGTTTAAAAACCTTCCTCTCATTAGCAGCTCCGTGTAATACGTATCACGACTCTGCTCTCGCTCGTAAAGATGCTCTGATGATGTTTTAATGGGCTTTTTTATCAGCTGTCACTCCAGCAAACATCTGGATTTATAGCCGATACAAAGGCTCCTTTACTCATCCAGAAAGGTGTGGGTTTCATTTTAACCTCGGGGTGTAAATGATTATAACTTTCGAGTGTTGAGGAATTTCCCCTCATTGAGTCAGTGAGCGGAGGGTTGGAGATTAAAGGGCGAGTTCAGGGTTAAGTGGATTGTGGACCAATGACAAGAAAAAGGCTTCTTAAACATGTGTAATGCATATTTTTGAGTCTGGAACAAAGTTATTTAACAAAGATTAGGCAAAGATTTGTTAAATAACTTTTTAAAGAGTTTAAATTTAACAGTATTTTTAACGTCTCTGCCCAAAATATATCAATAAATACATTACTATTGATTTTAAGTTATTTCTTTTTTCTTTTAGCAACTTCTGGATCAGAGTTAATTTGTTTTGTGCTCATTTTTCTTTATTTTATACACTGTAAAACCAGAAAAGTTCATTTAATTGAAACAAATTGTTGAAACTAATTACATCAACATTTCTAAGTAAAACTAACTACATTTTGTAAGTAAAAAAACAAACATTCTTGATTAAGTAGCTTTAGTAATTTTAAGTGACAATAACTTATTTTCTTTGTACTGTGAAAACAAAATATTACTCAAGAATGTTTCTGTAAGTTAGTGCCACTTAAAAAAAGCTGCTAAATCAAAAGACTCTAATCAGTAACTGTAATCAGTTTCAACAATTTTTGAGTTAAATGAACTGGTTTTACAGTGTAAAGGAAGTCTTACAAGAGGGACTATGCATGTCCTTGTTTCTTACGAACGTTCTGCTGATATGCTCCCCACAATTAGTTTGGAGTATGCATCCGACAGGTGGCCAAATCTTA